AAAAAAAAAACTATCTGAACTGATAAATAACAGATTGGAGATTAAAATAATAGCAGATTTGTCTAATCTTAAATGAATAATAAAAAGTGAGATAAAAAATTAACTTAAGCCAGAATTTAAATGTTACTATGGTAAAATAAATATTCAAACCACATGTGTTACAACTAACACCCCGTTACTTTGTGCATCGCACTCATCGCAAGTTTATTGTTAAATTGTTAAATGCCCTTACATATCTCTGTCACCAATATAAGTGTTTGATCACCACATTTGAGTGATCATTGCAAAAAATGTGTTTATGTATAAATATTCTGCTTATGTATATACTATATTCTATATATAGTACCAGTCAAATGTTTGGACACACGAATGGGAAAGTCTCCAAACTTTTGACTGGTACTGTACTATAATATACAAAGAATATCGGCCGATATATCAGTATCGGCCCCAAAAAACCCATATCGGTCGGGCTCTATTAAAAACCCCATTAAATACCTCAGCATGTTGAGTTGACAGTTTGGACTCCTCAGTCCAGCACACAGCAGCTTTATTCCTGTATCCTGAAGATCATTGTTACTCAGGTCCAGCTCTCTCAGTGGGGAGTTTGATGATTGTAGAGCTGTAGCCACAATTTCACAGTGCTGATCAGTGAGATCACAGCTGACCAATCTAAACAGGTTAATGAAAAACAATCCATTACATAGGCACTGATTAAATATAGTGTGTTAATTGTAAAACACTTTATTAGGACCACTCTATTAAAATATTGTGAAGAGCCTCCAAGTGCTCAAAAAAACAGTATGAATTCCTCATGCCATTAATTCCACAAACAATCCAAACACATTGCTATAAAATTCTGATCCATGGTGACATGACAGCATATTGCAATTTATGCAGATTTGTCAGATGTATGTTCATCATGCTGTGTATCTCTTCTTCTGCAACATCCCAAATTAATTACAATCCGGGCACTGCGAATGCCAGTGAAGAAAAGGGAAGTCTTTGTCATGAGACAAAACAAGTTTGAGATAACTTTGGCTTTGTGCCATGGTACATTATCTTGCTGGATATAACCATTTGAAGATTGGTAAATTGTGGCCATGAAGGGATGCACAAGGACATCAGCAATACTCAAACAGGCTGTGACATTCAAGTGATGATTGATTGGAATTAACGGACCAAAGTGTGTCAAGAAAACATTCCCAAAACCATTGCACAACCTGGACTGGTAACAAAAGGCAGGATGAGTCATGCTGTGGATACCAAATTGTGACCATATGTGTACAGGAAACGAGATTGATCAGATCAAGCTATGTTTTTTAACTGTCCAGTTTTAGTGATTCTGTGACCACTGCAGCTTCAGTTTATTGTTCTAGGCCAACAGAAGTGGAACCTGATGTTGTCTTCTGCTGTTGTAGCCCATTCACCTCAATGATCAAGATACTATGCATTCTGAAATGCTGTTCTGCTCTCCACTATTGCAGAGTGGTTATCTGAGTTACTGTAGCCTTTCTGTCAGCTCAAACCAGTCTGGCTATTCTCTGTTGGCCTATCCCATCAAAGCATATGAATCCACAGATCTCCCACTCACTGGATATTTATCATTTCTTAGTAAAAGTGAATTCTTCGTAAATGACTGTTGTGTGTAAAAGTCTCAGTAGATCAGTAGTTAAAGAAATACTTAAACCAGCCTGCCTGACACCAACAATCATGCCATTGTCAAAATCAGAGATAATTTTTTTTCTCCTATTCTGATGGTTTGATGTGAACATTAACTGACCCACATCAGCAAGATTTTATGCACTGTACTGCTGCCACACGCCTGGCTGATTACACAATAGCATGAATATGTAGGTGCACAGGTGTTCCTAATAAATGACATTATTATTAAAATATTACTCAATTAAGCATTGTTGTTACATTGAGTCTTAAGACTGCTAAATTGTAATATATTTCTGACAGTTTCTTCACATTAAACTAAACGTTTATTTTGACGGGTTGCCGTGAAGAACTTGCAGCTGCTGTGAATGTGATATGATGGTAGTTTTCTCAAATTAAACCGTAAAATGCTAATGAAGTGACTCTCAGAGCAACTGGAGATGATATCTGTGTGTTCATATCGTCATATAGAGAGATGGCAGAAGCTGAAAACACTGCATCGTCTGCTCTTTAGTATGTGTGTAGTAAACAATACAGTGCGTCGCGCCATCCGCCATTCATTCATTTATTCATTGCGGAAATCATGGCGCCTTTACGCGTGATGTCAAATGCTTCCACGGATGTGTAGTATTACTATAGCATTTCACCTGAGCATTGGGAATCACGCGTATGGCTTTGTTCTTTGTTCTTGTCAACAGTATCTCCGCCATGATAAGCACTGCATGAATGACAGTAGAGCCCTGCATTTCAGCTCGGGCCCAACGGACGATTTCCAGCCCAAAAGCTCACAAAAACCCACTCACTCCAACAAAAAAAAACTTTAACTGTCAGACTAATGTGATAGAATTTTATTAACATGTCATATTGATAAGGACCGTTTTAACTCCTTAAAATAATGACAAAATAATATAAATTTCCCAGGTAAACAGGTCAAAACAGGACAAATAGGCTACATTAATGAGAATTACCAAATATGATTAAAATATGCAAGCAGACACTGAAAATGATGCAAGAATGAATCAAGAAATTAACCAAAACACATGGTTAATTTCTTGATTGCCGTTTTGACAATGTCAACAGTCAGAAAAAGCCAATTTAAATGCAAAAAGTGACCAATATAAGTGATAAGAAAAATCAAAGTAATTAGCAGGTATTTCACACTCATTCTTGCACACACCATGATGTTCAAAACTGTGTCATTCATTGATACTTACTGTACGATAATCCTTCGTGTTGCACTTTAACTTCAGACAGAACTAGAAGTCTTTTGTGAAGTTCATATTGTAGAATATAACACAGAACTTTGCACAGTCAAAACTAATCAAGCCAGCTTTCAAGGATATACCAATCTGGACCGTTTAAAAGATAAAAGACAGGATCAAGGACTAATGATAAGATTCACATTAATCAGATCTTGTTTTAAATGTTTGCTGAAATAAATACAGGTAAAAGATTGATTCGTGGCTTTTGAGAATCGACATCGAATTGACGTAATTTAAAAAAAACGATTAACCGAAAAATCTATTTTTTTTTTTTTGCCCAGCCCTAATTATGTAAACAAAGCTTTTATTTTGGATGCGATTAATCACGATTAATTGTTTGACAGCACTAATAAATATATTATTTTTATTCAGATCTATGCAATAGAATCAGATATAATATTATATATATTTTTTAAAATATTTTTTGACTAATTATCCAAATAATGTTTAGTCCTACCAAGGTTATTTTTGTAAACGAAAACTGAAACTAAGACTGAAACTATTGGTCAAAAAAACATTTTCGTAAACTGAAATAGAATTACAATTTCTAAATAAATGAAAAACTAAAACTAAACGAAACTAACAACAGTTACTGAAAAACTAACTAAACTAAAATAATAATTAGCAAAAATAAATAATTGTGTTCGTGATTTTAATAAGCTCTCATTCTGTGGCAGAAAATCTGACCTGTGGTTGTTTAGGGAAATACCTGTAGAGAGCGCTTCATTCACGTGAGCTGAGTCCTAAGCGGCTATTCACAGAGAATGCGTTTTTGATAAAAACTCAACTGCCTGTAGCTTTCTAGTAACTCTGAAAACCTTGATTAGCTTGTTGTTTGTAAACTATTGGCATGTTTAACAAGATTACATCTTTAATATGAATGAATAAATATGAACATGAATTTGAATTAATACATTTTATACATAAGTTGCATATTTTAGTTTTTTTGTTCAATTGTAAAGTTATTTTTTTTCATTAAGAGGTTGGCACTAGAGTTAACTGTAAACTGTTCAAAAAATAAACTTTGCGCAAATTAAATGTCTTGCTTTGGTGTACACTTGAAGTGTTCCATTAACTCTGCTAAACTGTAATTACTCAAACTAAAACTGAAACTAAAATATATAAAAACTAAATAGAAATGTGTTCACAAAATAAAAACTAAACTAAAACTAACAAAACCATTAATGAATCTAACAAACTAAACTGAAATTATAGGAATTTTGAAAACGATATTAAAATAAAAACTGAATTAAAAATTCAAAACTATAATATCCTTGAGTTCTACAAAGCTATTATTATCAGAGCATGTGAGCATCACGAGAGGGTAGCTTCATTTTACCAGCGTTGCCCAGTATAGCTGTACTACACCATGTTACAGTACAGTAGTGCTATTGCAAACAGGAACAAGTAAACTACATAGAAAGTTCCTGCTGTCGTGATATTTGAGGGGACTTTGATTTTGAGTAGTACATGAGTGGAGCGTTCGCATGGGCCATGAGCAACTCGGCAGAACGCACATTCATAGAGCGGAATATTGAACAGAGCATCACACGTGCAGTGACAATGGCTAGAGGGAGAGTGAAACTAGTGTTGGGTCGTTCTTGAACGATTCGTCTCGGGGAGTGATTCGTTCAGTCGTGCATGCGCAACATCCTATAGGTTCTGTACTGGAATTAGTCAAGTAGTTCACCTGTTTTGAGTCTTCGGGTTTTTCCGAGTCATTCGTTCATCACGTGACAGCCCCATACACTTAACCAATGCAGTCTGAGCCGGAAAGAGAATTGATTAGTTCATCTCTCGAGTCTTCGGGTTTTTCGAGTCATTCGTTCATCACGTGACAGCCCCATACACTTAACCAATGCAGTCTGAGCCGGAAAGAGAATTGATTAGTTCATCTCTCGAGTCTTCGGGTTTTTCGAGTCATTCGTTCATCACGTGACAGCCCCATACACTTAACCAATGCAGTCTGAGCCGGAAAGAGAATTGATTAGTTCATCTCTCGAGTCTTCGGGTTTTTCGAGTTTGTATTCTGGGTATGTGTATTTTATTGCTATGACTGTATCCCCTGTGAATGTTATATCTTCAATAAAAAAAATTTTTCCGGCTCAGACTGCATAGGGTAAGCTTAAGGGTCTGTCACGTGATGAACGATCTACTGGAGAAACCCGAAGACTTGAGAGATGAACTAATCAATTCTCTTTCCGGCTCAGACTGCTTTGGTTAAGTGTATGCTGCTGTCACGTGATGAACGAACGACTCGAAAAACCCGAAGACTTGTCAGATAAGAGGTGTGGTGAGCTAATCATAGACTGAAGACTCGGGTAAACAATGAATTAATCTTTTCTGTTTCTTATTGCAGTTTTGTATTGTTTGTAGTGTGATCAACGTTTGTGTTAGTAGACGTGTTAGGCAAGTATTTTAATTATATTTTGCTAAAATGAACGAAATGAACAAAATGACTCGAAAAAAGATTTGTTCATTTTGCTGAACGAGACTCAAAGGTCCGAGTCGGTAAAATGATCCGAACTTCCCATCACTAAGTGAAACCTGCGTGCTGAACACTGCTGGCCGGTGTGGCAAGCCATATATTCTTGGCTCGTATTTTCAGCTGTTTTTCTTTTTCGTCTGAAAAATAATGTACTGGCATACATACTGCGATCATTTCTGGCAGCCGAAACTGGTGCATCCCTAATGCTTATATTTATTTATGTTATACACAATAACTGTTTTGCTTACAAACTTTGGAACTTCAAAAATGAATGAATAGCACTTCACAAAGACTTCTTAGCATTTTACGGAAAATTAATTTGTAGTCAAGTTTGTGGTCAGCAGTGACAACGGCACAGATAAACTTGAATGTAACTTTATTATTAGAACTTAACTTTTTTTTCATTAATGCAGAAATGTGTTTATTCTGCAGTTCAAAAACATACTGATTAATGTTACGCCATAATTACCTCTAATAAATAATCTAAATGAATTAAATTAAAATTGTATTTAATTTTACATTTTATTTCAATTTAATTAATCTACCTCTCATTCCATCCTGATGATCCGACGACATTTCTTGCTGGATGAAGGACCATCACCTTCAACTCAACCTTGCCAAGACAGAACTGCTTGTGGTTCCATGCATGTGCCCTCTAGAAGCTTGCTTTCTGCAAGTGAACGTCGTTTTACTGTGCCATCCCAAAGAGGCACAAAATCACTTTCACAGACTTTTTCATTAACTGTTCCCTCCTGGTGGAATGACCTGCCCAACTCAATCCGAGCAGCTGAGTCCTTAACCATCTTCAAGGATTGGCTAAAACACATATCTTCCATCTTTATTTGACCCTCTAACTCTAGCACTCTCTATTCTAATTCTATTCTTAAAAAAAAGAACATGCCCCTTTTAGACTTGCACTCTATTTATTTACTAACAGCTTGTTTTCTTAAAAAAATAAAATAAAATAAAAAAATAAAGAAACTATCACTCTCTAATCTTTTTGCATTCTATCTATTTGTTTTCTTTTATTGTTTTGTTTTAGGAGCTCATTTTTATTCCACCCCATATCCTGAAAAGTCTGTCTTGCAGGATTGACTAAAAATGAGCTCCTAAATCTTGCTGCCAGATTCTGGGAGATAAATTCTTCAAACAGTGGTACAAGAGGATGTGGTGCTGGTCCTTCAAGAGTCACTCTCAACTTAGCTGTCCATAAAGCCTATAAAAAAAATTGTCAATGTATTTCACAATACTTCAGCATGTTATTATTAAATGAGGGTCATTTTTTAGGATTTTTTACCCAAGCAAAGTCTCTGAAAACCTGACACCTTGTAATTCTGGAGACTCCAGGAAGATTGCAGTTCTGGAAAATGGTGGCGCTGGAGACTAAATGCTTCCTGATGGTTTCACACCTAATTCTTCACATTAATTCTTAATTATTTTGCAGTTAACGTTTGTCTTTTCTTCTCCACCTGTTTTTTTCTGACCCCGCTGTCCCAGTGAGCATTTTTTTGTCCAATGGTCATGTCTTAACTTTGCAATTTCTGTATTGCATTATATACACAATAACTGTTTTGCTTACAAACTTTGGAACTTCAAAAATGAATGAATAGCACTTCACAAAGACTTCTTAGCATTTTACGGAAAATTAATTTGTAGTCAAGTTTGTGGTCAGCAGTGACAACGGCACAGATAAACTTGAATGTAACTTTATTATTAGAACTTAACTTTTTTTTCATTAATGCAGAAATGTGTTTATTCTGCAGTTCAAAAACATACTGATTAATGTTACGCCATAATTACCTCTAATAAATAATCTAAATGAATTAAATTAAAATTGTATTTAATTTTACATTTTATTTCAATTTAATTAATCTACCTCTCATTCCATCCTGATGATCCGACGACATTTCTTGCTGGATGAAGGACCATCACCTTCAACTCAACCTTGCCAAGACAGAACTGCTTGTGGTTCCATGCATGTGCCCTCTAGAAGCTTGCTTTCTGCAAGTGAACGTCGTTTTACTGTGCCATCCCAAAGAGGCACAAAATCACTTTCACAGACTTTTTCATTAACTGTTCCCTCCTGGTGGAATGACCTGCCCAACTCAATCCGAGCAGCTGAGTCCTTAACCATCTTCAAGGATTGGCTAAAACACATATCTTCCATCTTTATTTGACCCTCTAACTCTAGCACTCTCTATTCTAATTCTATTCTTAAAAAAAAGAACATGCCCCTTTTAGACTTGCACTCTATTTATTTACTAACAGCTTGTTTTCTTAAAAAAATAAAATAAAATAAAAAAATAAAGAAACTATCACTCTCTAATCTTTTTGCATTCTATCTATTTGTTTTCTTTTATTGTTTTGTTTTAGGAGCTCATTTTTATTCCACCCCATATCCTGAAAAGTCTGTCTTGCAGGATTGACTAAAAATGAGCTCCTAAATCTTGCTGCCAGATTCTGGGTGATAAATTATGTGGTTTTCTTAAAAAAATAAAATAAAATAAAAAAATAAAGAAACTATCACTCTCTAATCTTTTTGCATTCTATCTATTTGTTTTCTTTTATTGTTTTGTTTTAGGAGCTCATTTTTATTCCACCCCATATCCTGAAAAGTCTGTCTTGCAGGATTGACTAAAAATGAGCTCCTAAATCTTGCTGCCAGATTCTGGGAGATAAATTCTTCAAACAGTGGTACAAGAGGATGTGGTGCTGGTCCTTCAAGAGTCACTCTCAACTTAGCTGTCCATAAAGCCTATAAAAAAAATTGTCAATGTATTTCACAATACTTCAGCATGTTATTATTAAATGAGGGTCATTTTTTAGGATTTTTTACCCAAGCAAAGTCTCTGAAAACCTGACACCTTGTAATTCTGGAGACTCCAGGAAGATTGCAGTTCTGGAAAATGGTGGCGCTGGAGACTAAATGCTTCCTGATGGTTTCACACCTAATTCTTCACATTAATTCTTAATTATTTTGCAGTTAACGTTTGTCTTTTCTTCTCCACCTGTTTTTTTCTGACCCCGCTGTCCCAGTGAGCATTTTTTTGTCCAATGGTCATGTCTTAACTTTGCAATTTCTGTATTGCATTAGTTTTGAATATTTATCATGGGGATTTAATCATTTTTGACTTTTCAGTCTGACTTAAACCTCTTTTTTGGCTCATTTTATCTGTAAAAGAAAACATGCCTAATAATTCTGCACACCTGAATATAAGGAGTTTTTCACTTCCAGCCAAATTATATATCACTTATAAATGATTAAATACAAAAATAATAGTAGTTATTAAGTTTGAAGTGGTTAGGAATTGGTCAAATGTGCTTGGAAAAAAAATATGATCAGAATATCAACGTGCCTCATAATTATGCGCGCGGTGTACTGTCTAAATTACAGTGTAGCACTGTTTAGCGGAGTAAAACATAAGCACAGGGTCACTGTCTTGACATTTACTATGCTGCTTGAAATCATTCTGAATTACAAACACACACAAGCCCTCAACGAGCCCAATGGCAGAGCGCAATATGTGAGGGAATGAGCTCCAACATGTTCTCTTTCTAACTTTTCAAAGTCTGTGGTTCAAGCGCCACTTAGCAATAAAAGACTGCAAATACACATTTCTAATGTTGCCGCCACATGTTGGAGCACTTTGTTGCAGAATGTTTGTTGTAAACTAGGCATGATGTAATGCTGTAAAGATGAAGCATCCAACTAATCTGACAGCAACTAGTGTAAGCAAACTATTTTATAATGATTTGTCTGTAAATAACAGACAGATAACAGGTTTTAACTGAGCTCTCTTCTCTCCTCAAATTCTTTCAGGCGATACTGGTAAAGTGTGACACTTTTAATGTCAAAGTGTAATTGTTAATTTTCCTAATTTAAAAAAAACTAGACAGGGAACTGTAATTGAAAATCAACATATTGGACAAATCAATGTGAAAGCCAAACCTCAGTATGTTGAGTTGACAGTTTGGACTCCTCAATCCAGCGGAGAGCAGTTTCACTCCTGAATCCTGCAGGTTATTGTGACTCAGGTCCAGCTCTCTCAGTGTGGAGTTTGATGATTGTAGAGCTGAAGCCACAATTTCACAGTGCTGATCAGTGAGGTTACAGGCAGTTAATCTGAAAAAAGGGACAACCTTGGTTAAAAGGCATACTCGTATGCTGGTGTTTCCATAAGATTGCTTCCATGATAAAAGAACTTCAACAAATTAATTCTTGACCATTCCCTGACTGGTCTTCTCTCATCAGGAAATTCCAGCCAATAAAACAGATGTGACTCATATTTTATAAACATCATGTGTATGATGCTTCACTAATTTAGTTTCTTCTTGTTTATACAGAACTGTATTGCGGATAGTCTTATTAGCCAAGTGTCATTATACATTTTTTAATAAAATGTTTTCCTAATAGAACTAATTACACAAACCAGTTCTATTGACTTGATTTTATTTCTCCTGTGGGAACATATATGCTTTTAATATTTCCAGTCTATATTCTTCTCATACTGTATAACATACAATCATAGTTTTATATGCAAGGCTGAACTACCATCTATGTTTCTGTTAGAACTGAAAAACAAGTACATGGTGCACCCGGGAACTGGGACGTATGCCAATGCTTGAGCAGGCAGAGAGGGAGATATATGTAGTTGAGATTTCTGTGTTCTTGGCCACTTCTCATCTAACACTTGCATAGTGAGCGACATTAATAAAAGGCACTTCATATCCACCCCAGACACCCTGTATCTGCATTCATGATTAAACACCCTGCAAAGATAAATGTTTCACCATATATCCCACTCTGCACTCCAAGAGGGCTTTGAGACACAAGCTGAACAGAGCCCACCTCTTGTCTCATATCTTCATGATTTCTCCCAATGGTCAGAGAAGTTAATTATAGTGAATTTTAAAAAGTGAATTATAAAGTGAACCATAATTAGCACACCATGGCCATGATTTAACCCTTGTGTGATTTTTGTCTTTTTTGAAACTTTCTACTATTTTCCACTTGATAGGGCCATTGGTGCAATGAAGAAAATACTACCCTTTTCCCCAAAAAATGTCTCCAAACAAGTGAAATCTTTACATAAAAATACTCAATTTTTTATAGAATAAATAAAAAAAGTAATAAGATCCTGGCCAATAAGTGACGAGTGGTCAATGATCTTCCAACATGCTTTCAGTTGTGAGCTCCTATTCTATGACGCATGGTAAATCAAGACCTGTCAATCTGAAGGATGTTCCAAATGAGAAACAGTGACTGATTGATCTCTACACATCGTCCCAACTCCCCATGCCCATCCCGCATTGTTTGACCTGACCAACATTTTCAAATGCCATTGGAAAACTGTGTCACCTAGGGTTGGGCGATGTCTACCAAATTGGCATCAGACGATGTCTACAGTGAAACATTGTGATGGATGATGACATCGGGGTGGGGGTAGAGTTGGGGGTGTGCCCGAAGCATGAAGCACAAAGAATGGTTAGCCACTTGCTAGCGGTAACCTGTTACATTACAGTACATCAAATTTTAATTACCAAATAAACAGAGTACGGAGAGATGACAGCTAGGACGATAATAATAATAATAATAATAATTCCTTACATTTATATAGCGCTTTTCTGGGCACTCAAAGCGCTTTACATAGAAGGGGGAATCTCCTCAACCACCACCAGTGTGCAGCATCCACCTGGATGATGCGACGGCAGCCATAGTGTGCCAGAACGCCCACCACACACCAGCTTATTGGTGGAGAGGAGACAGAGTGATGAAGACAATCAGCAGATATGGGGATGGTTAGGAGGCCATGATGGCCAGAGGCCAATGGGTGAATTTGGCCAGCATGCCGGGGTTACACCTCTACTCTTTTTCGAAAGACATCCTGGGATTTTTAATGACCACAGAGAGTTAGGACCTCGGTTTAACGTCTCATCCGAAAGATGGTGCTTTTTGTCAGTATAGTGTCCCCGTCACCACACTGGGGCGTTAGGACCCATACAGACCACAGGGTGAGCACCCCCTGCTGGCCTCACTAACACCTCTTCCAGCAGCAACCTAGTTTTCCCAGGAGGTCTCCCATCCAGGTACTGACCAGGCTCAACCCTGCTTGGCTTCAGTGGGCAACCAGTCTTGGGCTGCAGGGTGATATGGCTGCTGACAATGGCAAATGATTTGCAGATCCTGAGCACCACTGACAAACATCTAATCTTGTAAAATGTCTGGTAAGTACGGCCACTCGGTAGCACACACAGAGTACGTGTGATAAAGAATCTCGAAAGTGAAAGTAAAAAACGAGCGATTTCAATGCCCCACATATTAATAGTGGCTAGGAATCACGATGCCAGCTCAACATCATGATGTCAGTCAGCCATCAGTGATGGATGATGGCATCGTCTATCGCGCCAACCCTAGTGTCATCATTATAAAATGGTGAGATCCTGGAAAACCTAAAGCTTTAGCAAAGCAGCATGTCCTGTCACTCTGCGAGGATTATCTCATGCTATCTTACAATGTGATTGGGCCCATTCTAATCAAAACCACCTGCTCTAAATAAATATATGCAATCTACTATGGTTGTCATATGTTTAGTTAAGCTAAAACGTGGCGCAAAAGCCAAACATATATACTGTTTACATGTGCTTCGACAGCACTTGCGTTAGTCTCTAACTGAAAGAGTTTATTGTTTTCTATCAGTTTAAAGTGTTAACAACCTGAAAATGTATTAATTTTTGGTTAAACAATGATGCTGCTTAAAAATAAAGGTTAAAGTGGAGAAAAATATTAATATACTATTTTCATGACACAAGACAGACATTTTTGTCCTTAAGTAGCTATGTGTAACTTTTTTATTTATTTTTATTTATGTACAAGGGTTAACGAAAATTAATAAGACAAATTCTACACTGGTCTAAAGGATGTGAAAATGAGCTTTGGAAAAAGAAACAAAAGATTCCTTATTTAGTGGAATAACTCATGGAATACCGTTAAATTTGTGAAAATCTGATTGACCAGCCCTCAGACCAGAACACAAAGTTGCATATGGCTTAATTCAATTTTATGTCCTCAGAAATCTCTCCCATTCAGCAAGAATTCAAATGTTTCCATGGCCGTGATATAACAATTGGCTGCAAATCAATTATTTATTTTGTAAACAAAACACTGTACTTCATTTGTGTCCTAATATCCATACTTGTTTTGCCGTACCCCCACAGTGGGCCAATCATCACATTGACCAGCTCAGCCATAACTGCAATCGATTATGTTTTATGTTTGTGAACACAAACCCAGGAAATACTCATCAAACCTCTATCACAACCTCTTTTAAATTATGTTTGTATTGCAATATGTTAACACTCACACAGCTTTTCTGCAGTTCCTCACAGCAGGTACCAGTCTCCTTCTGCCCTCTTTTGATTTGATGTTGTACTTATTGAAGTCTAGCTCTTCCAGCACCTCCTCTGACATCAGGACCATGTTTGCCAAAGTTGAACATTGTGCAAGAGATAATTTTTTTCTTTTTGTTTTAGAGTTTAAAAATGCCTGCATTTCTTTAACAACAGAATTTTCTTTAATCTCAATCAGGCAGTGTGACAGATTCATCCATCTTTCAGGACTGACATTAGTTTTTTGACCTCGTTTGAGGTTCTGGGTTATTTTCTTGATGCTCTCTGGGTTGTTCTCTGTGTGTATCAGCACATCCGTTAAGAGTCTCTGATTGGATTCCAGTGAGACGCCATGAAGAAATCGAAGGAAAAGATCCAGGTGTCCATTTTTACTGCTCAAGGCTTTATTCACTGCTTCCTTCAGAAACACATCCAGAGGAACATTCTCACACTGAGTTCTGGACATTCCTGTCAGGAACATTTTCAGAACCTCACTGTTCTTGTGTAAATAGCAGAAAAACACATACAGTGCTGCAAAAAACTCCTGAAAGCTCAGATGTACAAAACTGTAAACCTTCCTGTGATAAATCACTGATTCCTCCCTAAAGATCTCAGTGCAAATCCCAGAATATACGGAGGCATCAGTGACGTCTATGCCGCTTTCTCTCAGGTCCTCCTCATAAAACATCACATTGCCCTTCATCAGCTGATTGGCGTCTTTATTTTGTCTTTCTTCTCTCTTCTCTTCTCCTCATATCCTGGTTCAGGTGAAGGATTAAAGATGTCATTGCAGTTGATTGGAGTGTCTTGGAGTGTCCTGTAACTTTTCTCCATCTGTAGCACCTCATGTTCTTCATTCACTCCTTCACTCTCTCCCTCGATGATGTACAGCTGTGTGTAAATCTGGTTCAGGAGAGTTTGATTCTCTTGTAGTTTGACTCCTTCAAATACGCTCTCATACTTGTTCTTCATGCTGGTTTTGTGCTGGTCTTTGACTCTCTGCAGATCATCATGCACTGGTCGGTGAGAATAAAGCTGCAGATCTGCTTCTGTGTCATGATGATTGATGTGGTTCTGACAGTAGGAGGATGTGAAGGTCTGAAAGGTCACATATCTGTTCTGGTCAGCGCTCCAACCACTGAAAAGATATTAAGCAGAACAGACAAAAACAAACAGAAAAGGCCTTTATCAAAACAAAGAAAATCTTTTAATTTCTCTATATCAAATGATATAGATACGCTGCCACAAGGCTACTGGTGCTGATGATAAGCTAATTTTAATTATAATGAATCTGTTGTGGCCAACAGATTCTCCTTATTACTGTCAATATTACACTGATGCAGAAATCCCACTTTTCCCCTTCATTTTTGCATAATTAGACAAAAAGGGAATAGACAGAGAAGCACACAATAGCACTATTTAACAAAGTTTATGTACGGTATTAAGCCTATTGACTTTTTCTTTTCAGTTTTCTTTCTTTATATCATGATTTTCATTTTTTAGTATTGTATTTGCTATTAAAAAAAGAGAACAATTTCCATTTAATTTTTCTGTCTAAAGAACTTTATTGCAGAAATAAAATAAAAATGCAACTGTTTGTCTCTTGCTATTTATATGTGTACATTGTGTTCTTGTGTTGAATGTCTCACTCTACATGAATATACTCACACAGTATCAAAGGGCACTGATCCATCACTGAGATCAGGGGGCTGCAGTGGAGAAGCTGCTCTCTTTCTCTTCCTGCTGATGATACTGAGAAATAGAAAGAGAAATAAAAAGAGAGAAATATTGTTTTTCTGCAAATTATCAGTCTGCTCCAATAAATTTACATCCAAACTGGTGTGAACAGGTCTTGTTAACCTATGGTTGAAAACTAGGAAAAACATGAAAATTAGTCTTTCAGACTGGGATCAACTACTTTCTCCACGCAAGTGCTGTCCCCTCTGTGCCAGATGTTCTATGATGCTATGTTGGGGAAAGTTACTTTTAAAAGTCAAGCATTACAATATTGTGTTACTCCATAAAAAAAGTAACTAATTACATTACTTAGTTACCTTTTATGGAAAGTAATGAGTTACGTTACTTTTGCGTTACTTTTTAAATCTGGGCAGGACTTGCTTGTTTGTTTTTAATATATAAAGTTCTATTTTTGGCAGATGTAAAAACCTTTTCACACCAAAAGTGAAATAAATAAGCCTCGGGCTGAAGGAAATGTAAATTCACGTCTGTACAGTTGAACGCAGGAGAAGATAAAGTCCAACACTCTTCAGCAATAAAAAAATTTAACCCAAATGTTATGTTTATCTAAAGTCATTTTTGCGTATTAATATGGTTGAATTGGATCATCGAAGGTCAGCAGTGAAGACACTGGTTAATAAAATGGGATTAAATACATAAAGTATATTTAAAAGATTTAATTATTGCAGGTTTGCGCCATATTCTGAGTTTGCATTTCACTGTTTTTATTCATTTTGAGGAACACTGAATCTGTTTTTGCACAAGACAGGGCTCTAGACTCATTCTTCCCGCTGGTCGCTCTTTTGTGACTTAAGTTCTCAGTTGGTCGCATGAGCACATCATTTGCTCACAATATTTCTTCTTTTTTTTCACTACATAGGATTGATCAATGTATGCTGATGAACTTTCATCATAGTTTATAGTTATATGGTAATGAAAGTGGTTAACATTCAACACGTTGTTTTTCATCAGTAGTATTATTTATGGTTTGAATTTTGTGAACGGGAGTTCCTCTTTTGATATGTTTATAAGCCGGGCTTCGGATGCTTTCGCTTTCAAATTCACCATCTTGTTGTCACGTTTTACAAGAAAAGATAATTGTCTGTTTTGCTTACATCTATACACCTTTCACTTTTTAAGACCAAAACAAAAGATGGATTTATTGTTATTCTTAATTACGAAACAGCAATCGGCCATTTTTTTTGTTTGTTTGTTTTATTTCAGCCTATCTCTGTTCTGGACTTGCACAAACTGCATTGCAATTATTTTCCTAAATGTCAAAATCTAATTTATGTGGAAATATTATGAAGTCTGTGGATGGCCGTTAAGAGAGGCCAGAGATGCTGAAGATGGTGCAACGATATGAAAAATACTGCAGCAGGCAGAGCATGCTCACTGTTTGTGATGCGCTAAATATTGGAAGAAAATCCTAAATATTGATTTGGGGGTTTATGAATGTGTTTCATGCGGGAACTGTCTTCAGAAAAGTTTAGATGGTATTTTCTTTCATCTCATCTCTGCATAATTAATATTAAAGAAGTGTATAAGCACAGTGCTGCTTTTTTTTTTTTTTACAGTGGTAACCAAGGAAACGCTATATCACTGCTGTTCCATAAGTGCCACCTGCTGTCAGAGAGTGAATTTGCGTTCTCATTCAGCACGTCTGTTTTTGTTTTGTTCAGGCATGTTTTATGTAGCATCAGTTCTCAAAGCTATTATTTTTGCTTGTAAAATCAAAACACCTTTTTGCAAGAGTACTGTAATTAAATGATGAACTAAAAATAAATAAATGTAATTACAGATTAGGTTAAAATAAACATGTCAGTCTTTTTTTCTTCTTTGTAGGGCAGCAGTAACTCTAGCAGCAAATCAATCATCTACATCAAAAGCTGCAGGACAGCCCAAAACTCAGCAAACATTTAACAAACAAGAAAAAAGAAACAAATACTACAGTTTCAAATAATCTGTATGTTGCTTAAAAATGTTTTACCCTGACATTTAAAAATAGCTCATTTTGGAGCTGTAACCACAATACTGTGATACAGTGAAACAGTGATATATTTGCTCAAGGTTATCATACCGTAAGAATCTCATACTGGCTCATGTCTAATCTATATCATCAGCTCTGTTGGCCTAGAGAAGCAAAATGTATAACAATTTTGTGGGAAATTTGTAGCAAAGAAGGGATTCCCTTTGTCATATTTTCCCCTTACAATAATCAAATATAGCAGAGCAGAACATAACAGGCACCGTTGTGGACAAGATAAAGGTCATTTTCAGTTTTTCAGAGTATATGAACTGCTGAGAGGGGCGTAGGTTAGTGATTCCCAAACTGTTACAAAGCAAGACCATTGGAAATTATACTATAAGGAAATCTAATTATTTCCGTGGACTATATATTTCTATTTTTTGTAGTATAATCATTTTTATTTGTTTACTATTATTATTTATAGTATTTTATTTTAAATTTCTGATTACAACTTTAATATATCCATATGTGCATAGCCTATATTTTTACATTTTATTTAACTGGATGGAATTCATTGGATGGTTGAGTTTGCTATTTCTGTGATCTCATGTGAGTGACAGATTGTTCTGCCCTCACACCTCTGATGCTCCTCTCTTTGACTTTTCACAGTAAAGGATTCACTCTTCCACACACACACTACACTTCAGCACTAGAAAAAAAATAAGAATGCTGAATAAGAACACTCTGACAGTGAAAAAAGTACATCTTATTTCTTTTTTTGTGTGAAAGACACCTGGCCTAGTAAGTGTTTTAGGCCTACAACTGAGGGAGAAACTGTGTGTCTGTTAGTGTCTTTGTTACAAGATAACAGAGGAAGGGAGAGATGATTTATGGGAGGTGTTTTGGTGACCAGATGGGGAAAACCCGACATACAGAAGAGCAGATTTGGAAAGTAGCTGGGTCACACTGTGCCTAAACTGAGATCTCCAGCTGTCATGCACTAATCAATGGAGATATGCTACAAAGATGTCCATGTTTGCCTACTTTTCAAGTAAAACTATGCTTGATCAGAATCATGAATCCTGAAGTAGTGATATAAATTGCTGATTGCTGCTGTATGTGATGTGAGCAGAGCGGCCTATGAACTCTGAGTGTTGAAACTGACTTCTGCTATTAAAACTGCAAAGAACCTTTTCTCTTGCGCTTTTAGATGCTATCAAGCTTCAAGTTCTCCTGGGTTTTCTGCCAAAATAAAAGCTTTATGGTTTAACATTTGAAAGCAAAGAAATTTACAGCCAGAAATATTAGTATGGCAATTTTTGCTAATTATTTATTTATTTAATTTTATTTTAGCTGATCTCATGCCTTGTTGTTTTCCCTTTAGCTGAAGCAGGGGCGTAGCTTCTGGTTATGCACGTGCATATGGGTCCGGGATGACTGGGGGCCCGCCGAGGGGGACCTTTTAATTAAAATGAGGGTACGAATTTGTGGCCATATATATACAATTTAAATAATTGTGTGCATTTCTACTGCAGCCGTAGAACTGCGTTTTATTTTTAAACTATGTGCAAACATTGCATTGCCACAGCCAAATAAAATAATTACATTTTAATTAAATTAATTAAATCTAAAAAAGTATTCATTAATAAAAATAAAAAAAAACTTGTGTGAGGTTGTGTAACACATTGCTGTGTATAAAGTGCACAACAAAGGAGTAAAGTCCAAAGAGTTTTCTAATAAATCCAAGGAGAAAACACAGGAAGAAAACAACAACTATACAAACATCATATCGGACAGAGAACTGAGGGAAAATGAGGGCTTAAATACAATGGGAACGTAATCAGGGAGAACAGAACAGGTGTGGAGCTAATTAATCAAAAACCATAGAAACTTAAAAAAGGGCCAGATTTACTAACAGCTTGTGCCAGCGCAAACTGTCTTTTGCCATTAAAATAGTACTGTCAGGATTTACTAAAGCAGCGCAGTGAAGAATTAGCACTGAAAAGGCATGGACAGTTATTTTTGTGCCTGACCTTATTGAATATGCATTTATAGGAGTAAAAAAAGCATGTCTTAAAGGGGTCTTAAAGGGGTCATATGATGTTTTTTTAAAGATCATTATTTGGTGTATTTGGTGTAACAGAATATGTTGACATGCTTTAACGATATTGAAATTTAGTTTAAAAAAAAGTGCTGTCATAATACATTATAATAGATTTAATAACTTTTTTCTTATAACAAAAATAACTGAACATTTAAATGCAATAAAGCAATACAGAAAAATATATAAAGTTAAAAGTTTTACACAGATTAAAGTGCAAAAGAACTATAAAGACCATTAGGTATCACTTTACAATAAGACCTCATTAGTTAACCTTAGTTAATGCATTAACATTCACAATGAGCAATAGCTACATTTGCTACAGAAGTTATTAATCTTTGTTTAAAAAAATACAAGTCTTTGTTCATGTTAGCTCATTAAATAACACAGTTGCAACTTTCGATTTTAACAACGTGTTATTAAACATTGTAATTACCTAAGATTAATGAATGTTCAGAAGAAATTTTTATTGGCAGTTTATGTTATCTAATTAATTAACTAATGTTAACTAATGAAACTGTATTAACTGTATTAACGCATACAGCGGTGTTGTGCATTTTGACCAGTTGATGGTTAAAGTATTCTTAAAATGCATTCAAAATTCGAAATAATTTGTAATATATAATTATTCACGGTATTTATTATTTCTGCGCCATCTGCTGACAGAGAGTGAAAGTGCGCTTTCATCCAGAGCGTCTCTCACATGTTCCGCATGCGCTTATGCGCTTC